GCACCGTGATTAAAGCTTATGGCAGGAAATCACGTAAAGCTTACATTAATCTGCCGTGGGGCGTGAACGCAAATAAGCGAGAGGGTGAAGAATCTTGCTTGGATACGGATTGTTGCGAGACGTTATAACAACTAGACTATTATTGGTATAACACTGGTTGGTGAATATTCGCATTCGCGAATTCGCATTCCAAAAATTCGCATTCGTATCATCCCTAAGTTACAACTTCATTGTAAGTTTATTTCTTACTACTACACCGTAGATGTCACTACTCGCAGTAAGTGGAGTGTGTTACCAGAGAACGTATAGTTAAGAGAAGATGAAAATCGTAAATCTGCTCTTTTGGTTGACTTATCGCCGATAGATGGCGCCACGTATGCTAAGATCGTGAATTAATTATATTCGAGCATTTCCTCTATAGATGGTGCATGATCGGCTTTAAACAATCATGGATGGTGTACGTTGTTTTTGCACTCTCTTATTACGGCTTTTCGTTGATAGATGGCAGCTGACCCGCTTTTAAGGAAGGATATTGTATTTGGGATAGAATGGGCATGAATGAGAACCTTCTCTGGTCATACGGTACTTCTGATCAGTGTTGCCAGATTTCCAAAAAAAAAGAACGAATTTCCAATTTCACTTGTCTTTTATGTGTAAGATGAAGTCTGGGATTGCGCTTATCTTTCTTTCCAATTACCTGGATTGCTTCCAGATGCGAGCAAAATATATAAAACATTGGCGCATATAGTCTTCACCTGGTCTTTCCATCGCAGAGGAGGCCTTCACATTCCTCTCATCAGCATCGTGATACGCGTTAGATACTTTCAGATCTGGGGCGTTTATTTCTATTCGTAAGACATGGCAAAGCTAGATTTTAATCGAAATCGACCGCACCATGTAAAGTTCATACAGCTCATCACTGCGTAAAGGCCCGTAAATCTTTCACAAAATGTTTCTCACGAATACTCCGAGAGCATAGACACCAAAATGGGGTGGAAGACAAACAATTAAGCAATTACGTTGTTTCCATCTGATACGCTTAATGTTATCCTGCGTCAACTGCCAATCCGCGAAACCAGACTCAAAGAGTCAGGCTGCTGCGGTACGGTCATAGTGGTATTCTCGACAAGCTTGTCGAAATAGAGAAATAATCAGATTATAAACCTCCTATGACAGACTTCAATAAAAACTTACAGGTTTAGTCTCCATCTAGAAAGGGCAGAATAGTCGAGGAGAATTCCACTGAAATCTCTACTGACGGGTCCAAAATGCGTCGTGGGTGCAGAAGTGTTCTCTGAAACGTTGTATATCTCTCATCCAATAAACTCTCCACCCGGACTCATAAAATTAACTGCACTTGGAGTTCGCACGCATAGCTGATACGCGATGGAACAACCCTTAAACATGCCAGGAACATATGGCCGCATTATGACAAACCAAAGACGGAGGAACTTCTAAAGAGGCCTTCCGCACAACCCACGGTGCCGCAGCTGTAATATTGAGGAAAGAAAGGGAAGGATCCTACACTATTTTGTGATTGCCCAGCATTGGCACGAATCTTAGGCAGATCATCAAATGCACCATTACTAACCTAAATATTTTCATCGCAAAATCCAAATGGTTTGACGAAACCGATGAATCATGAATGCAGATAAAATCAAGGCTTCTATAGGAAGTGTATCAAAATGGTGATATCAGCACTAATTGGGCCCCTGGGAAAATGGCTGGGAGAGGTCTTTACCCAATTATGACGTAGCTAGTGGTATTACTCAGCGTGTATTTTACACAGCCGTCAGTTTCGCGGGGACGCCAAATTCAGACATCGCGGCGTATAGGAAACTCCTTTTGGTGCTGTCGAAAGCGGCTTTGAAGTAGAAAAATATATAGTGAGTGCCAATCCATTTCTCGCGAGTCTTCTCCAAGATTTGGCGTATTGTCAATACCTGGTCTATGGTGTATTTGTCAGGTCGAAAGGTTCAATCAGTTCGTTGACGGTGGCCTTCAGTCCTTTATACAATACGGCCTTGTAACCTATGCTTAGAGCGCTGATCTCGCTGTAGTTGGCGCGAATGGCGGCGTCGCTTTTCTTGAGGATTGCGCAAAGCACACTTGAATTCCAGTCGTCGGGCATGCATTCATCTGACCGTATTCTGCATAAGAGTTAATACATGCATGGCTCAGCTGGCAGTATGTCAGCTGCAGCAGCTTTGTTGTTTTTGGCCATCTGTTGTGAATACAGCTTTTCGACGCAAAGCTTTCGTTGCATTGTTGGGCGAAAACTTTTTGCTCCACAGAGGCTTGGCTGGAACAAGAAAATGGCATGAGTCCATGTTTGGCCCTCGGAGTGTACGTACGTACACTGGAAGCGTGCCTTACGTCTACCACAACATGATCGATTTGATTTCTCGATTTGGAAACAATCAAGTAGCTTGATGGATCTTCGTCATGTTTCGGGCGCCGGCGAAGTCGATCAGCCTCAGGCAGTTATCGGACGTTTTGTCCAAATATCCCTCAATTACCCACCTTGTCAATGAAATCAGTAAGCACCATTTTGATATCCTGACGGGACAGCTCTCGTATGTATTCTCCTGGCGCTCATAAAAGAGATCCTTGAAAGCTTCGTCGTTTTGTTCCGTCGGAGCGTGAGCGCAAATGAGTGAGATGTTGAAGAACCTCACTGTGATGCGGCTTAGGGCGAGACCTTCGTCCACCGGAATGAAAGACAGTACTCGGCGACCGAGTCTCACTCCCACTCACTGTTGCCAACTTGGTGCTTTTCGCACTCAATTTAGTGCTTTTCTTAATTCAAAACGCGAAAGTTTTTGAGTTTGGTGTTTGGTTTTGATTTTTCCCACTATGCACTCAAATAAGACACATTAAAAAGGGAAATGAAATTTCGATTTGTTTCAAGTGTCAAGCAGTCGGAAAGAAAAGTTCTTTATGTTCCTTTAGTTCACGAGATCATGAGAGACTGCAGTGTAGATTTAAACTACCACATAGTTCATTAAGCTTCCTTTTTTTTTGTTTTTGCTTCCGTTTGGCAGGAATTGTAGAAAAAATTTCTTGAACAATCCCAAAAGATTTCGACAAAACTTCACAAGGTGCCGAAAAAGTTTGGAAAATGGCCGAAAAGCAAAACATTTTCTGCTCAAAAAATATAAGGCAAAAACTTATAGTTTATCGCCGCCTGCGAAGAGCACATTTTTTAGGGGGAACCTTTTTCATGGCAGACGGTTAGCTATTGTATTGGATTCTCTGGGTTACGGCGGCCAAAGTAATGACTAATTTATATTTTTTATTTACTTTGTTAAATTTTATTTTAAATATCCAACTCCGCAACCATTGGTTACTTAAGTGTTTGAGTGATTATTGTTTTAACGATCGTCTGTATGGCTACTGTGAATAACAGTAATGCATAATATTAATTTAATGATTTTTGAATGAGAACACACTAATACATTTTGCTCCAACGAAGCGAATATTTTTCATCACAATATTTATGTTAATTTTATGGGTGTTGATGTTTTTTCATTGCTGATAATACATTTGATACTGTGCTATATGTACATACATATGTATATACATTCTTGTACATATCGCAAACAATCTTCAAAAGTTTCGTATTTAACTCAAAACCTCTGGAATATTGTGTTTTTTTTTGCAGCAAATTGCAACGAAATATTGATTCAGTTTTTAAGAGTTTAGGCAAGTTAATACCTAATATCAAAAAATTAAATTAATACACTTTTGAAGATATGCCCACTCACGTTTAAATGAGTAATAAACTTGAATTTCTAATTTCGAAAGAACCCGAAATTTTAATTGAAACTGATGATGTAATTAAGTACCTACACACACTTCGCCTCGCATGAATAGATACACTTTCATTCTTCAAGAACCGATCGGAGAAGATATCGGTGTAAAGAGTTTGAGAAGGTGGCAGGCAGCAATGTGATCAGAAATTCGGGTAGCAATGAAATTCAGTTCCTGCAAAAATTAAAAGAGTAATCTGGTAATAGACGTCTAGAGTTAGCTTGAGATATGGAGCGATAAGATGTTTGAATGGCGACACAGTTGACGCGTTTCACGAAGGAAAGTTCAGGGACAAAGCCCCGGAGCCGACGGTATAACTAACAAACAAAGAGTCTTCGGGTATTGAGACACTGATCGCTGTTGATAGTGATAACTTTGAAGTACCTACTTTTTATACTTAGAAATAGTTAAAAAATAGCCACCAATAATGTAGCAGGACAAACAAAGAATGACGCTTGCCAATAGGTACAACTTTAAATTAGGTAAGCAACTGGAAAGTAGAACCCTCACAGGCCGAAAGCTCTACAAACCTCTCATTATGACAGTCTTTTACAATTTTCGTAACGTTTATAGTTCTGTTCGCGTGGTAGATGGGTACCAGGGAAGATAGAATAATAAATTGTACCAGCTTTTTATCGACATGGTTAGAGTTAAGCGCTTAATAAAAATACAAATATTAAGCTTGTATAAATTGCTCGCCAAGCAACGATTTTAGCAAAATAAATGACTGATCCCTTCTCGATTTTATTCATTGTGAGGAGTTCAACAGGAAAATATGTTACGGAACTCTGGTTTAGAAGTATGCATCTCCTTCAGGCATTTCTAGATCTATTTCAAAAGGGCCCTGGCATTTAATTTACATATTTCATTATAAAATCCGGTTATTTTGAATACATATATATGTACCTACATACGTCGGAAGCCAACTGGTTCTCGCCAGAT